CAGAGAACAACCAACTGACGGCATTGGTTGGGCAAAGACCTCAAAATCAACAGAACCTTATTGCCCTCTTAGAACCCTAGTCCTCGGACATTTATTGCTGAGCCGACAGGCTGAGACACACTTTCGGACTGGTACAATTCAGATTGTACCTTTCTCGCAGCTTCGGGAACTGACTTTCCGGTGATGGATGCATTGGCTAGTTGCGAACGAAAGAAAAGAAGCTTAGTTCTGGCTTTCACTGCATACTCTTTAGCTAAAAGCTTGAGACATTCAAAACCACAACATCGTTAAACACCTTTTCATCCTCATAATTACGGATGACCAACGATGCTTTGGCACTGTTCTCGAAGTAAAGCTTGAGTAGAGACATCATTCGGACGGATCATGTCACCTGGCTTGAAGTCAGGCGGTGCCATCCTAAGGGCTCGCACTCACGAAGTGCCGACAAAATCTCAGAGGTCCATACATTTGATCCAAGTCCGGTCCACGATGCCAATGAGGTGACCCATTCTATTACGAACACCACTATTTCAGCAGGCTTTGACTTCCAATCCTAGATGGAGGGGTTGGCACAGGTGGCATCCACCGTTCCGATCTCTTGAACGGATTTTCATCATTCTGTCCCCTGAACTCTTGAACGAATCCCTGAGGAGTTTTAACAGTGATCGGGATCGTCTGTGGATTCAAGCTCTGGAAACCGGGTGGTGGAGGGATAACCTGGCTTAAACTCTGATTGGATGATTAAATAGTAAATGGTTGCGTTTGTTCTGGACTATTGGCCGTGCTGTACGGACAGGGTCGATCCGGAATTCCTGCGGCTTGGGCTGAACTATTATGATATTGCTGCCGTGGGTCTTGGTTCACCCAACCTAGACAACCAGGAGTGCTATGTTTTAAGCCTTTTCAAGCTTTGAACTGAAGGCTCAAAATATAAGCCTTTGAAGTCCAAACCATGTCGTGGAATGTATACTGCATAGCTCTTTGAAGTCCTAGCCGTGTCGTGGAATGTATACTGCTCCGCGCTTGCAGTCCTAACCATGTCGTGGAAGTATACACTGCAGGTCCGCATGCACATATAAAAATGGATGGCCAACCATCCTGCACTTGAGCACTCCTATAGTCTTGATTGAAACTTCCGCCCATATCATTATCCTATATGTTTTCTTTATATACACCCCCAAAAAAACCTAACCTGTGTCGGTTGTTGTTGTGTTTTTTTGGGGGGGGGCTTGGCCGGCTGCCGCCCTCGCCGCCGGTGCTTTGGAGTCGAAGCTGGCGGGGTGAAAGGGTGCATGAACCTAGCTAAGATTGAAGGCAGGAACACAGTTTGTAGACACATATCCCCGAGCACTCGGGGCATGCATGGCCCTCAATTCAAACGTGTACCCACACATGTTCTAGAGACAACCATGCATGCATGACCCTACCCACACATAGCGGCCCGCTGGATGTTTTCGCTTCAGCGGGTACTTCGAAGTGCTGGGCTCAGCTGGCCTGCATTGGGAACACAAACAGCTGGAGAAGCGCGCGGTATCGACGCATCGACACGCGTTCCATCGTCAACGGATGGGTGGAAGAGCAAATGCGGCCCACTTCTTTCATTAGATCTTCGTCAGCATAACAATGTTCAAACCTGAGTTCGAACCGACCGAGTTGGAACCTAGCTGGATGGGAAGTTGTTAATATCTATTTTTCTTTGTGGAAAACATTGTTATGCTGATGAAAGGAAAAGTGTGATTGGACAAAGTCATGGGTCCTTGGATTCCGGCCGGTCTTTTCGATGTACACCGAAAGCTCCAATAGCGAGTGGTACTTGGGTGTTATCTTGTAGCACACCCGCCCATCAACACGTTTTTTGTCTTGTGAAGCAAGTTTTTGATATAGCACCAGGCCCTTGCGGATGGCACCAACAACTTCTTGAGTTTCCGAGGGTGTAAACCAGGCTTGATGATCGTCTAGAAGATGTTGAAATTTCGCGAAGGCATTCGCGCACGAGTACCGTAGTCGTCCATTCAATGTCCCAACTTCGTCCCTCAAAAAACGCTGCCAACCAATACAACATCGTTTTTACGACGGCCGCCTTGTAAATGCTTGATAGGTCTGGGTACACGTTCCAGGCCTCCCTCCCGAACCGTGTTCCCGAAAATCGAAACGAACAAGCTGTTATGGAGTGCTCTTTGCACCACCTTTTGTAGTGTTTGAAAACAACTTTGGAAAGCTGTTCATCAAGCTCTTTGAGTGTCAGCCCAGGGTGCTTAGCCTCCAAATGGTCACAGACCAAAGCAGCTATCAGGATGGTTCCAGCTCCCTGGTGGAGAACATGTAAGAGATCCTCAGATCAAGGAAGAACATGTAACGGTCGGTGGAACCAGGAAGTGAAAAACAGAAAATGAAAACACATGAAAACTCTGTCAACGAAGATCGGCTTCGAACACGCAAGTTAACAGAACATGAAACAACTGTCAGCGAAGATCGGCTTCGAGCACAGAAAATGGAAAACCTGTTAACGAAGATCGGTTTCCTCAAGGTTGCGGTCTTTGGTCCATCCCTTGACATGTCTCCAAGAACTAAGTCGGGCCCCCTGTAGAATAACATACTGCTCATGAGTAAATCGAAGGCTCATGCAATTCGCAGTCATACGGAGGTCTCCGAAAGTGAACTGGGGATCCCGTGATGCCAAACAGTGCTCACATATGTTCTTCGCATTGTAAAAGCGCAGGTTTTTGTGTATTGTTTGTCTCGCTTCCCAGTCCCCCTTGAACGCAGCAAATGCCAAAGACCACCCCCCGGCAAAGAAGCTGCCTGCACGCTTCTCTTCTTGCGATCCTTTGGGAAAGGATGCACCGTGCTCGTTGGTGTGAGGATACCGACCAGTCATCAAAGTCCTGCACACATACCCAACTAGAGCGCCGACTTGGTCATGCGATTGATCCTTGATGATCATTGCTTCGCGCAACAACAAAAATACGAGTTTTGTCTCCGTGGACAAGCCTTTCCGACAGCCACTTGAGTACGAGTAGATCCACGCCTTTTGATTGCGATAAATCTTCACACCATCAGTGTGAAAAAACAATGGAACGCAAGTAGACCACTGAGACTCTGGTAGCTCTAGTCTCTCGAAAAATTCTAAGCCTGCATCTGAGCAATGCTGCCAATATTCTAGGACCTTCTCAGATGCCTTTTCTTTTTCATCACATACCCACTGTAGGAAGTGGCCCTGATTCCACAACCATGCCAATATGTCCCATGGCCATATGCAGCTGACCGGATAGTTCATAGGAACCTCGTCGCCCTCCGAGTTGGTGACATTCAAAGGAATTTCAGTTTCACCCGGAGTCAATGAGCATGCATCCTCACACCACCTGAAGGGATGAAGTAGTCCCTGAAAATTCAAACATATTGAAACCAAAGGCTTTCCAACAAAGGAGGGTATACTGATGATTTTTTGTATAGACCCTATGCCTCGAAAAGGAACGCTCTTCGTGTCCTCCTTTGTGCCACCGCGCCATTTTCTTTGCCAAGGGGCATGGCACCGCGTCGCCAGCCAAATGCATTGCATCTCGGCACCCATCAGCGGCCGATGTTGCCTGAGCACATGTTACATGAGAGCATGATTGGGAAGTTCAACTTTTGGGCTGTGAATTGATAATGTATCACGTATCCATATGTATTTGCCTACGCGTTCCAAGACTATAAGCTCTGATATTGATTTATTTGGACTCCAATTCATTTGACCTCCCATTCATTTGGATTCCCATTCATTTCAACCGAGATACCCCTGCACAGATTTTTCGAAGAATGCGGCAAGCCGAAGAAGAAGCCCTCGTCAAAGGGCCTCATCCATATGAACATCAGAGTAGAATACATCAGGGGTTCATCAGAGGTATGATACGAGCCAGGAATACATCAGAGGTAGAGCGACTGGAACACATCTATCCTCTCAAGCCGCTGCCAAGGCACCGATCGGGACGCTTGATGATTTTGGAGGAGACCGGGATCTTGATGTAGACGATCTGGGCCTGCGTGGGTAGAGACCGCATCAACCTGTGTACAGCCAACCTGGATCCACCCGCACCACCCCCACAAGGTCTTTAAAGGTGCAGTGCATTTTTCCAAAGCCCCGCAGGTTAGCCCGAGGGGAATCCATCAGGCGCATCCCAATTGGAAACCTTCTGATTTGAATGCGACCTTTCACCACCCTGATGCAAAACAATAAGAGTGTTGATTTCACAGGGATGGGAGTTTGAGTTTGAGGAGATAAGTAAATGAGCATGTCTCAGGCTTGTAGAGTCGACCAGGGGAATGAAGCTATGCACTAGGGATGGTCGTTGGCCACGCATTCACCCAGCCCCAAATGACTTTGTCTTTTGGGAAAACTAGGCGGCCGTTGCGCCAGCATCGGATTCATTTTTTCTTTTCTTTGCCCTTAGCCTTCTTTGCAGGCTTTGATGGCTTATCCGATGCACGAATGAGGGCCTTAGCAAGTTCCAGCCTATCAGTGGCCATGGTGGTAATCTCATCAACCTAGGCATCAAAGTTGCACAGGGCTGTACATATCCAAAGATGTTCTTCTACATATCCAAAGGTGTTCCAAATGTGTTCAATGCAACAAACCCAAGTTCAAGCAACTTTGTTGATGCAATCAACATAGTCTTTGTTCTGGTTGCGCTTCTCGGTGATCTTCGATTGGAGAAGGTCCGCTTGCTGATCGAGTTTCAAAGCGCAAGCCTTCAACTGATCGATCAGGTCGTTGGACAGGGATAGCGGGCGCAATTTGAAGGCATAATCCCTGACGGAGCCGGATCCTTTCTAGAATGGACAACCCCCGGACAACCCCCATATTATCCCAAATAGTGAACTCCAGAATGAACAAACCCTTGTAGGCCTGCAATTGTTCGCATCCTTCAAGACACGTTGCAGAAGGGTCTGCGCTCGTGACAAAGGGCTTTCTGGCACCACCTGTGGGCCACATGAAACATACAAAGAGGATGAGCTAGAGGTCAGCTTGAACAAGGGAAGTTGAAGGCCCTGGCCTTTTCCTCCTTGGGATCCTTATTCTTATTGTTCTTACCACCTTTGCCTTTGGAAGACGGTGCCTTGCCCCCGCCCCCAACTGCACCAGCAAGAGACTGCATTCCGGTGTTGCCCGCAATGTCAGTCAAAGACAAATGCTTTGTGCCATCCAGGCATCCTCCAGCCTCAGATTAAAACAAAGAAACTCCCTGAAAGAATCATGGAGGTGGTTGACGTTGCCAAGTGAACATGCTGTTGAACGTGTTCACATCGCATGTTCATCAGTGTTGACAAGGGACTTCAACGAACGCTTTGACTCCTTCGGAGTCGAGGGTACCCTGGATCTCCAACTGCGTAACCCTCTTCAATTCCTTGATGTCATCAAAGTTGAGCTCCACCAGCACAAAGTATAAGAGCTCTCCCTCCCCTGGTAGCTCGGGATCTGGGATGGTCCTTGGATTGGATTGATTGGCCGATTGCATCAGGACTCTTCAAACATCCTACGCATCTGGCTTTAGTGGCTGCATGGCAATGAGGCGTGGGAACCCGCGTGGGAAATAAGGATGGTATCCTAAGGAAAACGATGGGGGCTGTTGTGGGGAGGTGATTACAGTTTTATATAAATTGTCTGAGTTTCAATCCCAGCTCCTTTTTCCTTTGCATGATCTTTTTCGCTTTTGCTTCTCCATGGTTGGTAATGAGCCACTGATCATTGCGAAAGCCGTAGCGAACTTGCCGGCGCTGCGATTCCTCAAGTCTTTGTTCAAACCTCATCTCTACCTCTGCTAAGTTCTTCCCGCTCTCCAAGTAGTCCTTGAAGATTTGGTTCTTGGCCTCATCAGACTTGGATGCAGCAGCAGCAATCTTCGCTGGGCAACGTCGCTTGTTTCTCAGCCACCTGCCCATAGCCTGCCACTCTGCCCTGTAGTTTGTGCTGTTCATTTTCAACTCCTCCTTTGCACCTGCCAAAGCCTTGCTCTTCTTGTCAGACTTGCCTTTGCTCTTCTTGCTTGCTTCGATCTCGCTCTTACTCTCGCTCTTCTTTTCAGCCTTCTTTTCAGCCTTCTTCTTCTTCTTCTTTTCAGCCTTCTTGCCTGCTACTTCCTCCTTTGTCTTCTTCTTTGCATCCTCCTCACATTCTGACTCCTTGTCTGATGCCACGCTCTCACTTTCATCCTCCTCTTCTGACTCCTCACTTTCTGGCTCTGCGGAGTCCTCACTCTCTGAGTCCTTCTTTGCCTTCTTCTTGCTTTTGCTCTTCTTGCCGGATGACTCTTTGCCCTTCTTGCCCAAAGACTCCTCACTACTATCGGCTTCTACTTCTACCCTTTTTCTCTTTTTGTCTTCGCCTTCCTTCTTCTTGCCCTTCTTTGAACCTTCATTTGTCGCATTCTTCTTCTTCTTTGCTACTTCTTCCTCTTCTTTATCTTCACCTTCCTTCTTCTTGCCCTTCTTTCCCTCTTCTGTTACTTCTTCAACCTCTTCTTCTTCTTCTGAACCTTCCTCTTCTTCTTCTTCTGAGCCGTCCTCACTGTCATCTTCTTCACTGTCATCACTGGCATCACTGTTGTCTTCATCGCTTTCTTCTTCATCCTCACTGGCATCCTTCTTCTGAGTCTTTAGAATTCCTTTCTCTTCCTCTTTCTTGTCAGCCTCGTCGGATTGCTCGTCAGAGCTGTCTCCGTCCTCTGACTCTTGCTCCTCACTGCTTTCATCTTCATCTTCATCTTCATCTTCATCTTCTGACTCAGCTTTACTTGGCTTCTTTGTCTTCTTCACTTCATCTGTCTTGCGCTGTGATTTGTTCTTTGGCTCCTCCTTCTCTTTCTCTTCTTCATCATCTGTCTTGCGCTTTGCTTTGTTCTTTGGATTCTCCTTATCTGTCTTCTCTGCTTTCTTCTTTGTATCCTCTGTCTCCTCAGCTTCATCTGCCTTGCGCTTTGGTTTGCTCTTTGCTTCATCATTCCCTTTCTCCTCAGCTTCTTCTGTCTTGCGCTTTGCTTTGTTCTTTGGATTCTCCTTTTCTTTCTTCTCTGCTTTCTTCTTTGTATCCTCTGTCTCCTCGGCTTCATCTGCCTTGCGCTTTGGTTTGCTCTTTTCTTCCTCCTTGGACTCTTTATCACCAGCCTTGTCTTTCTTCTTTGTCTTGTTCTTCTCTGCCACCTGCCGGCGCTGCATCATATCCCACCACCTTCTCATAGCATCCAGATTCACTGATCCGCTGAGACTATTTTTTCGAAGTTTGCGAAGAGCAGATTTGGAAAGGCCAGGAGCTTTCTTGAAAATTCCTGGTACTTCAAAAGGTTTCCAATACAAGCGGTACCGGTCCCGTTTGGCCTTCTCAGCTTTGCTTTTTCCCTTGTCCTGGAGCTAACGTTGGGGATGTTAGGGATGTTAGTGAGACTTGGAGGTAGACTTTGGAAACATACAACAAGTATTGCGCAGTCCTTCAAACCCTTGAGGATTTCATCTGCGCGTTCGATGTTCATCTCCCTTCTTCCGGTTGGAGCCGGGTTCTCAGCAACAATCTGGTGCTCCGTGTTGGCTCCAAAAGAAATCCTCCGGGGTGTCACCGGAGTGACCTTCTCGGAGCTGCTGGTTTTTTTCCTTCTTTGGTCTTGGCGGTGGGGTGACAAGTGATTCCTTGGTAGCTTTAGCAGCCTTCTTGAGAACCTTGGGGTCTGGAGACCTCCCTCGAGGGGCTGACTTACTACGATGTCTTCGCATCGGCGCGGCCATCGATCGAACCTAATCAACGCTGGGGCCCAACCTAGACTTGTACCCTCAATGAGCGGGAATGGAGAAGATGATTCACTCGATACACACAAACATATATTCTATGCATTGTTGCTGACATTGTTTTAGTTGATGAAGCTCACGTCCATTTTCTACCAGGTCGACCAGTGTTGCTACGCAGACACTGCATCAATTGCGCCTTAAGATCCTGCAAGGACCTGGCCAACTGCTCCACAAATGTGTTTGGCAGCTTTCCCCACACTTTCCCGGTTTCTAAACCATCACAATTGGACCCAATCCATCACAAAAACCCAAAAAAAACACACAAACTTCTGAACTCTCCCAAACCCAGGAAATTTCTCGGTTTTTCTCGGCGTTTTCCCGGGTTTTTCCCGGATTCCCGGGTTTTCATCTTACTGAAAAAAATTGCCAGGGAATTCAATTAGCGGTGAAAAGTCGGTTGGGTTTTCAGAAAATGTTGAATCCATGTACATTTTCCCGGGTTTCCCGGCATATGTTGGGGCTTAGCTGCAGCAATCTAGCTAGAGCAAATTAGAAGAACTCCTCAAGTCTCTCACTTGTTGAGAGCCTCGAGCACCTGCATCAGGTTTGCCTTCGAAGCCCATTGCAAGTCCTGCAGCCCAGGGCAAAGGTTGGAATGGCGGCATATAAACCCATCCCCATGGATGAAACAGGTGTTCAAATAGATTGCAAACATCTTTGGATATCTTTGTTGGATATCTTTGTTGGATGTTTGGACATCAGGAATTGTGGAACCCGGGAATCCGGGAATGAAACCCGGGAATCCGGGAATTGAACCCGGGAATCCGGGAATTGAACCCGGGAATCCGGGAATTGAACCCGGGAATCCAGGAATTGAACCCGGGAATCCGGGAATTGAACTATCTGTTTTTGGATATGTTTGGCCAGCCATGGAACCCGGGAATCAATCATGTGGGAACACTTGTATAGACCTTCAACCGTCCATCCATCCATCCATCGCCCCATTGGTCCTTCATCGGCTTCATAGGGCTGTCGCGGGCATCGAGCAGTTGCCTCAACATGCATACCAGGTTGAAAGGTTGATCATGGTTGATCCATATAGGACGCTCTCAAGCCAAATGCAACTCCAACTGATCGAAGACACACACTTCTGGACAGGATCAGAAGTACCTGTATCTGAAACTATTGATCTTCCATAATCCCTGATTTCACTAGCTTTGGATACCTATAGGATCAGACGATTTCAATATAATTATATGGCAAGGTACTGGCGGGATTTGATCCGAGCTTGAATATCATCTTTGTGCTTGGCATAGACTTGGGCCACTGCACCACCAAAAAGTCGGGGGTAGTGCTGCGAGACCTTAAGGTCTTTGCCTCCGCAAACCCGAGGCATCCCGGAGCCATCGATGTACCTGCAGCCGGAAAGAGCACAGAGGCACGCCAATATGCCGGGAAGGACGCTCCTAGTTAGACTATGGGTTAGATTGCAGGTGCACACTAAGTTGCCGCTTGGCCATCTCTGCTGACCACTCCACATTCTTGGGGAGAGGGAGATACAGCTCATTGCAGAAGCTGTAGTTGGAGTAGAGCAGCGTCGCTTTAGGACCTTATTGTATGTAGATCAAACAATTAAACCTTTACCTTTAACCCTGCACACATGTAACCTCAAGAGCACTCTGGTGCCACTTGTGCCTGATTCCAAGCCACTGGTGCCACCATAGGCTCCCAACCACACAAAGACCTCGACGGTTTGCGCATATAGGTATATATATATACATATGTTGTGCTTGTTCCAAAATATGAATCTCTTGTCTTTGTGGTTTGAATCTCAACCAAGCCACCCTGTATATGTCGAAGCGTTTGCAGAGATATTGGAAGTGCGGATGGTATTGCATAAGGCTGCTGGCTGGCTGCTCCAAAATGAAGGGGATGTCCAGGGTTGCCAACATCAGGCATATGATCACGCACCGGCTCACCATAGCATTCCTCGGCTCAGCTAATTAGGACACCTTGTCTCTTACTCTTGGTGGATTGCTAAACAAGAGACTGAGTTACCTTTTGGTCGGTCGGCTCGTCGCTTCAACTGTTGAAACGCACTAATGCTAGAATCTGCTAGAAAGCACCCCACCTCAACACTCGACTAGGTGTTGAGCCCTGCCCCACTTTGGGTGGGTTTGCAACTGTCAGGTGAAAACGCTTCCAGTCAACTGAATTAAGGTTGTTGCGTCGCACCCCCACCCGGACCTCACAAACTATCAGAGATCGCTGGGCCATCGACCCTTTGATTGAAAACACAACAAGTGGCTATATTAATTACTATTATGACTCTAGGTTATAGGGGTTCGTGACACGTTTGCAATAGATTTGGCCCAGCGCTCGATGTGATGGCAAACCGCTTCAAGTCTAACTACCACCACAACACTTGATCAGACGCCCATGATATACTTCGCCTTCTCCCACGCATCGGACGCAGACTCGGTCTTGAATGAGATCCTGAGACCAAGGAAAGTGTTCAGTGGGGTACCTATGGGAGGTTGTTCATTGGAGGAGTCTGTTTGTTTGTTTTGTGAACCATCAAACAAATTGATGAGACAAAGCGTCGATTTGGCCGAAGGCCCAGTCAAAGTGGTGCCATGTTGATCGGTCTTCGGCTTCAAGGCCCGTTGCCGCAACAGCACTTCAACCCGAGCGCTCTTGCTTGCATACCTAGGTTTCTGATGAGTACAAATGAGTACAGTTGAATCTATCTATATAGAGCAGTCTATCCATCTATATCTACAGAGTATTACAGAGTACTACTCTATATCTATATCTATTTGTATAACTTGCTAGAGAGTAATCTGCACAAAATGCATTTTCAGAAATATGAGCAGCTCAGATACACTGTGTACGAATGCTTTCCATGTCGTGTGCTTGTTGGCTGTAAACTTGAAGGGAGGCCCTTGATGACATCCGCATACTCTGGAGGAAACGTTGAAGCGATATCCCCATCAGAGGGTACCGGTACCAGTGCAGGTTCAGCCGGTGAGGTTTTGGTGGAAGCTCCGGTCTCCTTCTTGGACTTCTTACCACGACGTTTGTCCCGACGGCCCTTCCTCTTCTTGGATTCAACATTCACAGGCGACACCTCCTCAAGCTCCTGACTGTCGGACTCCTGATTGAGCAGAGCGGGTGAGGGGTTTAGTTTGGCTGTGGGACTTCCACAAGTGCACACATACATCATCACGCACAGAGTCTCCTCATCAGAATGATAAAGAGAGGGGGTTGCAGGTGGCGGCGGAGGTCGTCGTGGTCCTTCTTCATCGCTCGCGACAGGCTCTCGATTGCACACTCGACTCCACACATCGCTTGAGCAATCCTCAGCGGGCCCCCCAAAATGGACTTGGTGTAGGGAAATGTAAAGACACTATTTGCAGCTTTGATGTGCACAAACAACTGTAACTGCAGTTATGGGTGTTGAGCGCCCAACTGGGGACCATGATGAGCTGCCATCATGCTGCGGGGCGTCTTTGACACCAAAGAAGTCGTCGGGGATGGCATCAGTATCGGACTCATCACTCTTTTCCCCTCTCTCATCCAAAGACCCACCCAACTGGTCAGTCTCTGCATCATCTTTTTCAGGTTGGCCTGGATCTTGGTCTTCAGAATAGTTTTTCATACAATCTTTAAGCACTTGCACCCACGGGGATCTGGATGAGTGTTTGGCATTTTGCCACTTCCTGCAAAACCCAGCGACCCCTCCCCAAACCGATACATTCCCATGGAGGAAGGGTTGTGATTCCACATGGATCGAACAACTCTTACAGGATTCAGTGGTGCCCCAACTTAAGCGCTAACAGTCCTCCGGAGGCCTGACCACAGTTTCTGCAACTTGACGATGATGCACTCGGTCACAGCTTCCACGTCCTTGGAGGCCCCATGAGATGAATTTGGGTTTTTGAATTAATCTCATTCACATCTCCCTTTGTGGATCAATGGCATTACAGATTGTTGGGAGCGCATGTTCCTATATGCACATGTTGGGAGCACAGCCCATGGTCCAACACATGTCACCCAGAAACACCGGCCAAGGCTCCATTTCCTCATCCTCAAGCTTGCGGATAGCCATTCCCTGTGCAGAGGCTCGAGATCAGTGGAGACCCACAGCTAAGGTAATATATATATATACTGTATTTTTTTAATACTGTATATATGAGGATTTGAAGACACAAGTGGACGGGTTGGAAGGGTCGCCTGGAACCAACCATTGAAGGCGGCAAGGACTATCTCCAGCTCTGCTTTGCTCGGCTTTCTGGTTTGGAAAGCTGAGAATTTCACCAAGCTATGGATTGCCCAAAAATTTCGGATCCTAAGCTTTCAGCAAACCAAAAGACCCCTGAAAAGCCGCACCTGCGTGAAACATGTAAGCATTATCCAGTTCCATGAGAAAGAGACAACTCAAACCAAGGTTCAGAAGACGTTCCTTGGTCGTCTTCTTACCAAATCTTCCTCGAAGTAGATCCGAAACCGGTTGCCGGATGAAGATGGCTTCATCTTGAATCTGCAGCGGCACTGCCTTTGCCATGTCCATGCCTAGCATCTGAAGTGCTGCCACAAACTTTTCTTCCCCGTGTTTGGGTAGGCAAGATTGCCAATCCCATTCCATAACAGGCTCAGGTTCATGCTCATCCCCAACTGGGCCGGTTGGGCTGGCGGGAACAAGTGCTCCGGCTCCAGGCTCACCTTCCATGGACGACATCCTAAGGCCTGGGGACTCAGTGAACTGGTGCCTGGACCTGTCACACTGACAAAACGAAGGCGACTGATCTGAGCCATCGGACGCGGTTCCATCACAACAGAACTGCTTGACGTGTCACACGATGTGGCTCAGACTATATATAAAACTAGAGATTGAAATTCTGTCCATCTAACTCAAGTTATATAAACAAATTGGATGGCCCAATGGCCTTTTGAACCACACCCACACTATGATTGTGCATTCCTTGTCACATCTCTTTTTGCAGACTAGGGTCGCAATCGATACAAACCCCCTCGAAGTATCGCCAAGCGGATGTTCTCTGCTCCGAAGGCTGCTGCCCCTGAGCGGTCATTGCGTGATGCGCCGTTAGGTGGATGTTCCAAAGTTCCGGTATGTTCCAACGTGTGCCTCAATGTTTTTGTTCAACACTGCGTTTGGACAAGCCTGTTCACCCACACCCAGCTGGAGCATACAGGTGCCATCCAGCATAGTCCGCCCTCAGTCAACATAGCATCATTGCCAACTAGTTCACTTTGCCATCAAAACTATCGTGAGGAACAAATACTGCGAGGATTGTTTCTTGTTTTGACTTGTTCAGCCTAAGTCTCGGATCGAAAAAGCCGGGCACAAAGTGCAAAGGCATATGCGTAGCCTCGGGGATGCCGGAACTGGATGGAACTAGGGATCATAGAGTTTACCCATGGGCTGATTCTGGAACCAGAAGACTGCTTCTCTACATTTCCCTTCTACACATGCAGCATTGGTAGGTCACTCCCACCCCGCCCAAATTTAGGACGAAGCAGCCGAGTCCGGACATGATGTCCTGGGAAATCGGGTTGTCGTTCAGCTCGAAGCTCGCAGAAGTATAGCCCATGGACCTGCGGTGTACATAGCAGAATTTGCTGCGCTGTTGCAACCACAGGTATTGAAGCACGTGTTGCGAACATGTCATTTTACTTTTTCAGCTATAGGCTGTGCTCAATTGTTCCAATTTCCTCAATTGACTCACGTGGTTGGCAACTGACTCTCGTGTGTTGTTCAACTCCCTCGCCATCCCGAGCTCGCCTGAACCCCATGGTGATAGACTTGCACCCAGCAAAGAGCTCCACAGACTCCAGGCCCTCATGAGTTGAAGTCTGCACTTCAAAAGTTTAACGAGTTGAAGGCAAGAACTGCAACACAAAACTCATGAGTTGAAGTCTTCGCTTCAAAGGCTTATAAAGCATTGAATGCAAGAACTGTAACACAAAACATGTCTCACTGAAATTGCAACTATACTCCTTTCAACACCACCCCAAAGCAGCTGAGAGGCCAGGGTTGGCGAGGTCATTGATTGGAACACCTGGACGGCCAGGCTCAACAGAGCATAGGGCATTCCACCCATGACCAAAAGATGCAACCTCAGATGCGCTTGCAGCCCGGCGAACGGTCGAAACGGCTCGACAGATCGAATGAAACTTCGAACATGGCTGATCGAGCGTTCAAGTTGATTGGATGTATTAGTTGCATTATTGCCACCGTTTTTCCTTTTCTTCATTATATATCATATATTACTTATATAGTTGAACTCACAAATGGGTTTCTTCTAAATGGGTTTTGCGCAGGACTCCTAAGCACTTCCCAAAGCAACTTCAGCGACCTCGTAAACCTTTGTTGTAGTAAACCTCGTAAACCTTTGTTTAGAAACTCTACTCATACATGCATACTGGGAAACACTTTGGACAAGTGTGGGTGGAGCTCCTGCACGGAGACCCTGAAGGATTTGCTAGGCCCCAGTTGCACACACTTCTTCAAGGACTTGGGCCTCTTTGCAGCCTTCTTTTTCATGGTCTTCATGACATGAAGCGCCATGCCAGGCGCCGAAACAACCGCCCTTGAAACAAAAGCTGCAATGTGGAGAGCGCATGTCACCCCACTCGAAACCGGCACCGCCGGCACCCACACACACATGAACCGACTGCTCAACTGACATCGAGTGAACATTCAGTGCTCGGACGTGACATGTTCCCAACTTACAGTTCACAGTTCAGATCGAACTTGGTAGCGGAGGCGGTCGCACCTGGAAGTCTGGAGATGCCAGCTCTGTCGCCACATGATGCGGCACCGTGCACGCGTCAAGCACGCATGCAGTCCGAGAACATCGTTGTAGATGATTGGTCTATTTGGCTACACAAACCCTTCACCAAACGTTATGTTGCAAAATGTGGTTCTTCAACAACCCTTTTCGCGGAAGAGTTCGAT